GAGGAAGCCCAGGCCGGGCGAGGAAGCCCAGGCCCGGCGAGGAAGCCCAGACACGGCGAGGAAGCCCAGGCACGGCGAGGAAGCCCAGACACGGCGAGGAAGCCCAGGCACGGCGAGGAAGCCCAGGCACGGCGAGGAAGCCCAGGCCCGGCGAGGAAGCCCAGACAGGGCGAGGAAGCCCAGACATGGCGAGGAAGCCCAGGCCGGGCGAGGAAGCCCAGGCCGGGCGAGGAAGCCCAGGCCCGGCGAGGAAGCCCAGGCCCGGCGAGGAAGCCCAGGCCGGGCGAGGAAGCCCGTGCATAGTGCCCAGGGCCCACAGGCCACGAGGCACAGAGAACTATTGTTGTCAGCAATTCTGGGGGCTTCCAGCGCCCCTCCCCCGCCTCACTTCCTGCAAGAGGGCAAAGGGTGAGACCGTGGACATTCCACCTCCTCCTCCACACTCTCCAGCCAAGAACAGGGAACACGATCTCCCCAGCTGTGCCTCACGGAGACACCAGCCGCCCCCTCCCAGACTATGAAATGCTGCCAGGGGCACACCCCGCTGTCTGGAAGCCACACCCGGGCTGCGGGAGAGCCGGTCCTATAGCCCCCCCCATCCCAAAGTGCTCTCAATCTTGACAGCCAGCGCAAGCCAATCTGTGGCTCCTGCACCAGCAGAGTGACCCAAAGTCCCTCTCTGCACCAGGTCCTCGTGAGGGGAGCCTGCTGGTTCCAGACAAGGACGCTGCAGCACAGAGAAGGCCAGTGACCTACTGAGGGTCACACAGGATGGGACCCATGCTCTCTCCTGCCCGTCAGCTCCGGTGATATCATGGACACTGAAGACTCTCTGTTTTCCCAATAATCCCAGACCTCCCCCCACTTCAGCCTCCACCACCTGAGCCCAGAAAGACAGTGTCAGGGCGTGGGAACAGGCCGCGACCAGCCGCAGGGTCTGCTCACACTCAAGGACAGGCCAGCGTCACCGCCGCCACGTCAGCCGGGGACAGGCGGACCTGGCTGCAGCCCGGCTCAGACTCTGCTGCGGGGCCCACGACACAGGTCCCTCCGAGCCTCAGCGTTGTCATCTGTAAAATGGGCAGCAGCCTGCCAGCCCAGCCTGTGACCAGCAGCCATCGTCTCCCTTCCCCGCCCTGTGCCACGCCCCCCGCGTGTCCACGCGTGACTGGTCTCCCACGTGCCTTCTGGCCTCCGGGGCCCTGGCCGCCCACCCCCACCCACACCCACCGCTCATGGCACAGGCCCAGGGTGCGCAGAGGCAGAGAGTGAGGGTTACCTGGCCCGCTACCCTCAAGTTCCCCACCTGAGCGCAGGCCTGTCCATCCCTATCCAGATCCTCGCTGGGCCTGCAAGCCCGGCCTACAGCTACGCTACAGTGCCCCTCTGCGGCCTGTGCCCCCGCCCCCACCCCCCCACCCACCCATGCAGCCCTCCTGCTCCTTTATCAGCCAAGACAGCTTGCGGGGCTGGCCCGTCCCCCCGCCCGAGCGCCCTGACCGTGCCGGCCCTGACCGTGGCCACCAGGAGCACAGAGCAGCCTGATTCCCACTGAGCACCCCTGACTGCTTCTCTTCCCTGGGCCCTTGGGGTCCCCACCTTCATGACTGGCTCTCTGTCTCCTCCCTGGCCCCCTCCTCCCAACTTCAGTGGCCTCTCCCACCGTTCCACCCACACCTCCTCCTCGGGGCCACCTGTCACTGTGATGCAGACGCCCCAGCCCACAGCCCTGCTTGCTCTCCTGCAACCTTCCTCTGGACAGGTCCAGCCAGAGGACCCTGGGGCACTGCAGACTCCTGTCCAGAGGGCCCTCCCCAACCTTCCCATGCTGGGGGCTCCACCACCACCCACAGGACCCTCACCTCTCCCCAGCCAAGCTCAGTTCATCCTCATGGGTGCTCTGGGGTCCACCCTGAACCCCAGAGGCTCCCCGTCCCTCCCAAAAGGAAGTTTTCATCATCTGTCTACACGCGGTTCTCCATGGGCTAAGGCAGCTCAGGCTTTGGTCAGTCCAGCCTGGGCTTGGCCATGTTTGCGTGCCCGATGTCCAGCGAGTGGGCCACTCATTTTGTTTCTCCATAAGGTGATAATAAAATGATCCCGGTATGCACACAGTAATGGGGGTCACAAAGGATAACTAGTCCTGAACACCCCACCCTCATTGCCCTGCCCAAGCAGGGTGGTCACAGATGACATGAACCTGGCTGGATTCATGGGCGCCCTCCCCAAGCCTGTGGCTGACCCAGGCGCGGCCCCCGGGCTCTGAGCGCTGGGCCCTGGGCCTCTGAAGGGCCCGGCAGGGCATGGGGGGTGGGGAGCCACAGCTGCAGCCTTCCAGACATTGTCCCTGCAGGCGCCCTGCCCCTGCCACCTACCCCGTAGCGACCGGCAGTGGGCTCTGACGGTGCTGGCGCCGCTGGTACAGCCCGGAGGCAGCCAGTGTACCCAGGCGAGTGGCCATGGCAGCCCCTCCCGCAGTGGAGCCGCTCAGACAGGCTGGCCACCTCCAGCCACACACCGCCACGGGGAGCAGAGCTGCCCCCACCCCCACTCCGGTGACGCGCTGATCTCCAAAGGGCAGCAGCTCCCCAGAGAGGTCATTGTTCCCTGGAGGGGGCAGCGCAGAGAGTGAGGCTGACAGGCTGGGTCGCAGCTGGGAGGGACTTGCTGGGAAGGCCCGTGGCACTGAGGTGAGGCCAGGGCAGGGCGGGTGCCTGCAGATCCGGGCCCAAGCCCTGGACTGAGGATGATGGCCCAGGAGTTTCGGAATCCCACAAACAGTGAGGAAGTTGGCGAGGGGCCCACATTCTGCTTTCTTCCCTTTTCTGAGCCTGCGGTCATAGATACCACCCAGGAGACCCAGACCAGGGCGGCCCCTGCCCCCTAAATCCAGCCAACAAATAGCCAAGCACCCAAAAGAGGCCCATGTTGTCAAAACTCAGAAACAGGGAGTTTGCAGTGTGCCAGGAGCGGAAGCTGCAGGAAAGACGCCAGGAAGGCGCCATGTCTGCGTTTCCAGCTACAGAGACTGTCAGGGCGGCTGGACTCTGCCAACACCCATGGTCAACATCTGGCTGTGGTCACTGCCGGCCCAGCAGGCACCATGTCAGCTAACGATAACACCCACTCCACTGCCCTGAAGCCCTTTCTAGTAAGGTCAGAGTGTGCCTGTTACCTTCCTCCGCACTCAGAGTGAAAGAGAGGCAGCCACCACTCTGGACAGCGGGTGCTAGCTCCCGACACTTGGGCAGTGAGAAGCTTAGATCCGCTGGCACTTGCATGGGGGCCACTCACTAAGCAGCACAAGGAAGTGCTCACTAATCACCCAGGGTCAGCCCGCCAGTCATGACTGTCAGCACTGGGTGCTCATAATTTGTAAATGAGCTCAATCTCCAAGGTAATAAGCAGTGAGCAATTCAACAAACATTTTCTGGTGCAGCCACTATGAAAAACAGTATGGATTTGCCTCAAAAAAAATAAAAATAGAGCTGTTCTTTTACCCAGCGATCCCACTTCTAGGAATATATTCTAAGAACTCCAAAACACCCATCAGAAAGAACATATGTACCCCTGTGTTCATAGCAGTACTATTTACAATAGCTAAGATCTGGAAACAGCCCAAGTGTCCATCAGTAGAGGAGTGGATAGAAAAGCTGTGGTACATTTACACAATGGAGTACTACGCAGCTGTAAGAAAGAAACATCTCTCATCCTTTGAGACGACACGGAGGGACCTGGGGAGTATTATGCTAAGCAAAACAAGCCAGTGAAAGAAAGACAAATATCACATGATCTCACTTATATGTGGAATATAATAAACAAAATTAATTGACCAACAAAATAAGACCCGAGGCCCGGAGGCCCAGAACAGACAGACAAATCTCGGGGCAGGAGGGGGAAGGAGAAGAGAAAAACCAAAGAGCTTATATACTTATATGCATAGACATGGACACAGACAATAGTGTGGGGAAGGCCTGTGCAGGGGAGGGGCTGAGCAGAGGTGGGCAAAGGTGGTGGGGAGAATGGAGGACATCTGTAATACTGTCAACAATAAAAAAACTATTTTTTTAAGAAAAGAGAGAATTGGAATGACTATACTAATGCCAGACAAAAGAAAATTTAAGACAAAATACTGTTATGAGAGCAGAAAAACACATTTCATCATGATAAAGAGTCAATTATTCAAAAAGAAATAAGTATAAACATCTATGCCTGTAACAACAGTGCCCCAAAATACCTACAGCAAAAACTGAGAGACCGAAGAGAAAAATAGAGGATGTAACACTAGTAGTTGGAGCATCAATGCTCCACTTTCAGTACTGGATAGGCCATCACACAAAGGCTAAGCAAGGATACAGAAGACACGACCCGACAAAACAATGAGACTTAGAATAACCCACCGAACAATATTCTTCTTAAGTGTACATGGAACATTCTCCAGGATAAACCACATTAGACCATAAAACAAGCCTCAATAAATTTAAAAGAACTAGGATCATAGAGAACATATCCTGCGACCACGATAGAATAAAATTACAAATCAATAATAGAAGAAAACTGCCTGGCTGATGTGCTCCGTGGTCAGAGCGTCGGCCCACGGACCAGAGAGGCTCGTGTAAGTGGCAACCAGTCAATGTGTCTCTCTCACATCGATGTTTCTCTCTCTCTCTTCCCCCTCTCTCCTTCCCACTCTATCTGAAGATAAAATGCAAAAATGTCCTCGGGTGAAGATAAATATATATATATATATTATACATCATGACCCAGTGATATTTATCCCAGGAATATGAAGTTGGTTTAATACCCGAAAATCAACATACCATACCGTATCGTATCAGCAGAATTGTGGGAAAACACCACATGTAATGCAGAGAATGCACTTGACAAAGCCCAACACTGTCAAAATAAATAAATAAATAAATAAGCAACAACACAACAGCCTAGGAATAGAAGGGACCTTTTTCAACCTGATGAAAATCCAGCATTAACATCATACTCACAGTAAAAGATCGAAAGCTCTTCTCTATGGTCAGGAACAAGAAGATGGTGCCCAGACTGGCCACACCTCTTGAGCATGGCAGTGGGTCTTAGCTAGGACAGCTGGGCTAGAAAGGATGGAGAGGCACCCAGATCAGGAAGAGAAGTAAAGCTCTCTCTGGTTGCATGTCACACACTCTTATACATAGAAGACCCTAAATAACAACCCCCACCTCCACCAAAACAAAACAAAAACCTATTACAGCTAGTAAATGAGTTCAGGAAGGTTGAGCATAAAAGATCAATATACAAAAGTCATCAGCAGGGACGGAGTGGGGGGGGGCAGGAGGGAACAGGAGGAGGGTGTCAATGAGGGAAAAAGGAGAAACATCTGTAACAAAAATAAATTAATAAAAAATTAAAAATTAAAAAAATCAGTGACTAGCAATGAGCACTATGAACATGAAATAAATAAAAAAAATTAATTTACATTTAGTTGCCCTGGCCAGTTTGTCTCAACGGTTGGAGCATCGGCCTGCGGACAAGAGAGTCCTGGGTTCGGTTCCTGCTAGGGGCACGTACCCAAAAACAAAAAAAGTAATTTACATTTAGCACCAAAAAGAATAAACTACTGAGGAATAAATTTAACCAAAGAAGTGTAGGATTTAGACACTGAAAACTATAAAGCAGTGTTGAAAGAAATTAAAGAAGACCTAAATTAATGGAAAGACTTCCCATGGTCAGATTGGAAAATTTAATATTACTAAGTTGGCAATACCTCCCCTCCCCACAACTTGACCTACAGATTCAGCACAATCTCCATAAAAATTCCAACTGCCAGATTTAGAGATCCTAAAATTCATATGGAAATGCAAGGGACCCAGAATAATCAAAAGAAAATAATGTTTTTCTTGGAAAAGTATCAAGTCAGAGGACTCACCTTTCTCAATTTAAGAACTTATCACGGGGGAAAAAAGAAACATCTGTAACAAAAATTAATTTAAAAAACTTATCACAAAATTACAATAATCAAAACAGTGTAGTACTGGCACAAAGACACACATATACATCAATGAAATAAAACTGAGCGTCCAGAAATAATCTCATACACTCACAGTCAACTGCTTTTTGGCAAGACAACCAGATAATTCAATGGGGAAAGAATTGTTTTGTGAACAGATGATGCTAGGACCACTGGATGGCCACATGAAAAAGAATGGTTTTAAATCCTTACTTCAGCCCTGGCAGGTTAGGCTCAGTGGTTAGAGCGTTAGCCCACGGACCAGAGAAACCTGGGTTCGGTTCCCACTAGGGGCACGTACCTCGGTTGCAGTTTGTCCCCGGCCCCAGTTGGGGTTGTGTGGGTGGCAGCCAGTTGATGTGTCTCTCTCACGTTGATGTTTCTCTCTCTTTCTTCCTCTCTCCCTCCCGCTCCGCCTGAAGATAAATGCAAAAATATCCTCGGGTGCCCTGGCTTTGGCTCAGAGGTTGGAGTGTCGGCCTGAGGACCAGAGAGTTCCAGGTTCGGTTCCCACTAGGGGCACGTACCAAAAAGTAAAAAATGAAAAATAAGTATCCTCGGGTGAGGATAAAAAATAAATAAACCTTACTTCAGGCCATATATAAAAACTGACTCACAATGGATTAAAAACCTACATGTAAGAATTAAAACTAAAAAACTCTTAGAAGAAAACATTGGTGTAAAGCTTCATGGCCTCGGATCAGGTAAGTTTCCTAGTTATGGCACCAAAAACTCAAGCAACCAAAGAATAATCAATTGGACTTCATCAAAATTTAAAACTTTTGCCCTGGCCAGTTTTGCTCAATGGTTAGAGCATCAGTCTGCAGACCAAAGGGTCTCGGGTTCGATTCCAGGTCAAGGGCACATACCTGGGTTGCAAGTTCAATCCCCGGCCCCGGGGATGTGTCTCTCTCACATAGATGTTTCTCTCTTTCTCCCCCCGCTCCACTCTGTCTAAAATTCTATGGGGAAATATCCTCAGGTGAGGATTAACAACAACAAAAAAAAATGTTCAACTTTTGTTCATCTAAGGATACTATGATGAACTTCTGGTTGAGACTTCTGGTCAGGATGGCGGGTAGGTAACCACATTCTCGCCTCCTACAACCACATCAAAATTACAACTAAACTACAGAACAACCATCCTTCAGAACCACCTGACACTGAGCTGAATGGAAGTCCTACAACTATGAGATTAAAGAAGAAGCCACATGGAGACTAGTAGGAGGAGTGGAGGCAGAAGGGCTGGTCCCACACCCATGTATGGCAGATAAAATCAGGAGGACACCTTGGCTGGGAAGGTCCTCCCTGAGGAGTGAGGGGTCCCCGTCCCACACCAGGCTCCCAGCTCAGGGTTCCAGTGCCAGGAAGAGAATCCCCATCACTTCTGGCTGTAAAACCAGCGGGAACTGAGGCTGAGGGAGGCTGAGGCTGCTGGAGCCCCAGGCAGCTCCTCTTAAAGGGCCCGCTCATTCTGGGCTCCAGCGCTGGGGAGGCAGCTTGAAAGGCACCAGAGACATACGGGGAAGAACTGAGAGTTGTTTGGCATCCGGGGCAAGAGCTAGAGAGGCAGCTTTCTCCTGAACAGGCATGCTGGTGGAGGCTGTTGTTCCTTTGGTGAGCCCTTCCCCCACAGGACAGGCAGATAGGTGCCTTATCTGGGATTCCAGCAACCTGGTTTACACTGTATGCCCTGCCCTGGAGATTCCCTGAGGCCCTGCCCCACCCAACCTTCGGGCCCACTCAAGCTGTGTTACCAGTTGCTTTACCATATGATTGGCCTGTCTTGGCTCCTGCTTCAGATTTTCCTAAATTCTCTCAAACAAGCAGCATCTGATCTCAGTGTGCCCCATACTTCTCACTAAGTGACCCCAGGCCCCGCACTAGAAGCAGCCAGCCTTGGTTCATGGCTTGGCTTTTCCTGGGCACCTCCAAGCCCAGCAGACCACTTTGTAGCTTATGCCTGGTGGCCCCAGGTAGAACACAGGCAGCGGCTGACCTTGCCCCAGAGCCAGCACACCCCATGGACAGCTTCAGACCACGTCGAAGCACCACCACCCAACCACCTCCACAAATGACACACGCAAGGAATGGACTCAGTGGATACCAGAGCCCTGCTGAAGTAAGTCTTGCTCTGTGTGGTGGGCCCCTGCACAGCTGATCCTTCAAGGTAGTTAAAAGTCAGTGGTCAGTGGGCACAGCCAGTCCTTGCAGCTGACCAGCCTGAGTAAATCCCTCCCATTGACATGCCAACAGTGATCAAGAAGGGTGTACAGACCACACTAGGGGTGCACCTCGAGGGCCCAGCTTGAGTGATCAGAGAGACTGTGCCACTGGACTCTATAAGACACCTCCAATAGGCCACCCTACAAAGCCTAGGAGACATAGCAACTCTACCTAATACACAGAAACAAACATAGGGAGGCAGCCAAAATGAGGAGACAAAGAAACATGTCACAAATGAAAGAACAGAACAAAACTCCAGGAAGAGAACTAAACAAAATAGAGATAAGCAATCTACAGAGTTCAAAACACTGGTTATATAAGGATGCTCAGTGAACTTAGTGAGGGCCTCAAGAGCATAAAAAAGTACCAGTCAGAAATGAAGGGTACACAGTCAGAAATGAAGGAGGCGTTAACTGAATTAAATAATAATTTACAGGGAGTCAATAGTAGAGTAGGTGAAGCCAAGAAGCAAACCATTGATTCAGAATATAAAAAAACAAAAAACACCCAATAGGAACAGCAAAAAAGAAAAAAGAATCCAAAAAAATGAGGGTACTATAAGGAGCCTCTGGGACAACTTCCAGCATACCAACATTTGCATATTGGGAGTGCCAGAGGAGAAGAGAGCAAGAAATTGAAAACCTATTTGAAAAATAATGACAGAAAACTTCTCTATCTTGGTGAAGGAAACAGACATTGAAATCCAGGAAGTAGCCCTGGCCAGTTTGACTCAGAGGTTAGAGCGTCAGCCTGCGGTCCACACAGACCCGGGTTCGGTTCCCGCTAAGAGCATGAACCTTGGCTGCAGTTTGTCCCTGGCCCTGGTTGGGTTGTGTGGGTGGCGGCCACTCAATGTGTCCCTTTCACATCGATGTTTCTCTCTCTTCCTCTCTCTCCTTCCCACTCTATCTGAATAAAAAATGGAAAAATGTCCTCAGGTGAGAATAAAAAAATAAAAAAAAGAAATCCAGGAAGCACAGAGTCCCAAACAAGATGAACTCGAAGAGGCCCACACCAAGACACAGCATCATCAAAATGCAAAAGGTTAAAGACAAAGAGAGCATCTTAAAAGCAGCAAGAGAAAAGCAGTTAGTTACCTACAAGGGAGCTCCCATAAGACTGTTAGCTGATTTCTCAAAAGAAACTTTGCAGGCCAGAAGGGAGTGGCAAGAAATATTCAAAGTGATGAAAAGCAAGGACCTACAACCAAGATTACTCTGTCCTGCAAAGCTGTCATTTAGAATCGATGGGCATATCAAGGGTTTCCCAGACAAGGAAAAGCGAGGGAGTTCATCACCACCAAACCAGTATTATGTGAAATGATGAAGGGTCTTCTTGAATAAGAAGATAAAAAATGTGAACAATAAAATTGCAATAAATATATATATCTATCAATAATTGAATCTACAGACAAAATGAGCAAGCAGAACAGAAACAGACTCATAGATACAAGTACTTTTTGATGGTTGCCAGATGGGAGGAGGGTTGGGGGAATGGATGAAAAAGGTGAAGAAGTTAAAAAGTACAGACTGGCTGTTAGACTGATGAACCTCAAAGGGAAAGGAGAGAGTGGGTTGGAAGAAATAAACCAAAGAACTCCTATGCATATGCATGACCAATGGATGCCCACAACAGTGTGGGGAAGGCAAGAGGGAGACAGGAGTGGGGAGGAGGGGTCAATAAGGAGAAAAGGAGGGACATCTGTAATACATTCAACAATAAAGATAAGTTGTTTTTTTTAAAAAAAAAAAAAAACTTAAAAGACAATCCATACACCCTAGCCAGTGTGGCTCAGAGGTTAGAGTGTCGGCCTGCACACAGAAGGGTCATGGGGGTTTGATTCCCAGTAAAGGGCACATATCTGGGTTGCAGGTTCAATCCCCCGCCCAGGTCAGAGCACATGCAGGAGGCAACCAGTGGATGTCTCTCTCTCTCTCTCTCTCTCTCCCTCTCTCTCTCTCTCTCTCATATATATATATATATATAATCTCCCCCTCCTTTCCTCCCTTCCACTCTCTCTAAAAAATCAATGAAAAAAATATCCTCCAGCCCTGGCCAGTTTGGCTCAGCGGTTAGAGCGTTGGCCCACAGACCAGAGAGACCCGGGTTCAGTTCCTGCTAAGGGCATGTACCTCGGTTGCAGTTTGTCCCCGGCCCCGGTTGGGGTCGTGTGGGTGGCAACAAGTCGATGTGTTTCTTTCATGTCAATGTTTCTCTCTTTCTCTTCCTCCCTCTCTAAAAAAATTTAATATATATGTGTGTGTGTGTGTGTGTGTGTGTGTGTGTATCCTGTTGTGAGGGTTCACATCAACAAAGACAATCCACAGAATAGGACAAAATATTTGCAAATCATATATCTGACAAATGTCTAGTATCCAGAATACATAAAGAACCTTTACAATCCAATAATAAAAAGACCACCCAATTTCAAATTTGAATAGACATTTCTCCAAAAAAGATACACAAGCGGCTAATAAACATATGAAATCAAGATACTCCATATCACAGTCATTAGAGAAGTGAAAATCAAAACCACATGTGATATCCCTTCATACCCATGGAAACAGACAATAAGAGTCAGCAAGGATGCAGATAAATTGGAACCCTCAAAGCTCTTGCTGGGAGTGTAAAAATGCACAGCTCTTGGAAAACAGCTGTACTTCCTCTCCAAGTTTAACACAGAGTTACCATATACCCAGAAATTCCACTCCTCGGTGTATGTATGTTCAAGTGGTCAT